AATTATTATCTAAATTATAGAACAATAATATTATATAAATACTTAATGAATTTGGTAAAACGTTAAACATCGGTTTAGATCCTTCATAATAATTATAATGATTATTAAATACAAAATAAAAAGTTAAAAGTGTAAACTATAATTTAGTAATCATTTAAGTATAAATAACCTAAATACAAAGTATAATTGAAAATCAAATTAAACTTTTATTAAAAGATGCGGAACTAGTTCAAGATCAATTGAAAATTATCGATCATTTTACAGGATTTTATTAAACTCAAACAGATCCATTCTGAAAAAATTTACTTGGTTACTCGCTCGAAGATTATATGCTATAGAATCATTATTATGTATACCAATTTTTAAAATATTTTCTTTTGTTATTAATTGGAAACATCGTACATGTGCTTCATTATAAATAATATAATTGATTTCGATGTGTTTGTTTAGTCATCGATGTTTTTAATCATGAATGTTTAATTCCTATTTTTTATATATTGCTTTAAGTTTTCTAAATTTAAAAAATGTAAATTTATACACAATTCAATTTGTAGAAATCGAAAATGTACAGTTAAATTTGCTATGTATGGACATTTATTATTAATTTTATGTTGTAGGGAATAAACGTATAACAAAGATAAAGCCAATAATCATTATTTTTATTGATGTTTCTTTGTCCAACGATTTTAGCATCTCAAGGAGTTTTACATTTTTCTTTCTTTTCATATACTTTAAAACCAATAGTATAAACATGAAGAATAATGTTTATTTAATGTAAAAAAAATTTGATTATTTCCAATTCGTATAAAATTTATATTCGATTAAATAATATAAGAACAAATTAAAGAAAATTTATGTAAATATAATTTTTTATGGAATAAAGAAAATTATTTTAATGTATAATAGTATATATATGTACAGGTACAGGTATGTCAAGTATAAAATTATGTACCAATTCAAGTGAAGACTTTTTATTATATAATGGGTAATAGTTATTATTATTATTAAAACTTATTATTCTACATATATTTTAATATTTGTATTAATCTCTCAGATATCTTTTATTATAATAAATATAGCGAAATTACAAAATGTAAATAAAATTTTGGGATAATTATATACCAATTAAAAATTGAAAATTTAGTAGATAGTTGAATATTGATTTTTATCCAATTTTATCATGATTTAATGAACATGCTCTATGAGTGAAAAGATGACATAGTAGATCAGAAATTTAAAAGTTTCCTTTGCTAAAAAAGTTCTTTGCAGCTCTTAGAATGAACGAAGTAAAGAGTAACGGCAACATCAACGCTCATGTTATATAGATTTCGTCTTAGCGTAATTGAAATTTATATACCCTATAAGCTTGCACATGACATAAAGAAGCGATACTCTATAAAAGCGATTAAATTTCAATAGTAGAATGTACACTATTGGTGCAATAAACCTCGATGCCATGCATAATTCGAAATTTTTTCAAATAATTTTTACTTATAATGAATGGCAAGACAGATAGAACATTTGGTTTAACTTGTGAAAGCATTCGTATAGATGAATACAAGTGCTATCAAGCCAGTGATTACAAAAAAATTTGATTTATACAGCGCAAAATTACTGCATATGTAAAATTTAGCCTATTGGATATTTCTTTATTTCTTTACCATGTTATAATTGGAAGTGATTAATGAATGTGTTTGATCAGATATATGTATTACTTATCATATGCATCTTATGTTAGCAATTGTAATACATTATTTTTTATTATTTTTCAAAAGTTTGTTTTAGCATCGTTTTCATTTCTTTGCTTTTCATTTGATTTGTGGTTTCATGTATTTTCAAATTATCGTCATCACAAATGTCTTTTTACTGAAAATTATATTAATTGAATAATATGATAAAAAATATTTATATTTGTTGAACAACATATAGACAAATATTCTTAACTTAAAAATAGTCCAATATATTTTGCTATTTGAATGAATAAGTTGTAAGTAACAAAGCAAAATTATTTGTAATTATGAAAATTTTACATCTATTCGATTGATAATTTTTACGTGTATTATGTAGCATATTATGATTACCTTTAAATGACTCAAGATAAAGAACTTTAGTTAAAAATAAATAAATAAAAGATCATTTAATTTATCTAAATACGTTAAAATTGGAAAAGTAATGCATGTAAGCTTTTATGACCAAGAAGCGAGAATAGCTTTAATCAAGGAAGTAAAGCCACGACGAGATCACGACGCCATAATGAGAGTGGATGCGTCCGTCCAATGGGCACATATGACTACAAGTCGTTGACTCTTCCGCTTTCGCTTCACGCAAGACTCGCGACGAACAAGAGCGCGCGATTTTCCTCCTCGGACAGACATGCCGTCATGTCTCCAGTAGTGAATCTCGATCACGCCTCTTACAGTCTCTCTACTCGCAGAAAATTAAACGTCCATTGAGATAAAGAAGGGAAGGCTGAGAATGAACCAAAGCAGCGATTAAGCTGTCCGTTAGCACGCTTTAATGATTTGATCCAGCTGGTTAATGGAGACCTTTCATGGACTTTTCTGGTATTTTCACACCAATGCAACATTGAGCTACTATTTTAATTCGTATCACACTGTTTTTTAAAGGTATTTTTCTGAGTTATTATTTATCAAAAAATCCTTATTTTTATATATTTTTAGTAAACTAAAATGAAAACATAAATAAATAATAAACGACATATGAAATAGATTTTGTTAACTCTTTATAATATCTTTGTGGAATTATTTCTTTTATCCGTTTTTGCAGTATGAATTGTTTTTATAATTAATTGCAAATATGAAGCAAATTTAATTATTTCTTGCATTTCATAAATTTATTACTATCAACTGTATATAAAATTTTAATTAATAATGTAATATAATAAATTGAAAAGGATTTTCATCATTTAATAAAATATTGTAGCACTTTATAAAAATAATTACTAGAATTTCTAGCTTTTACCTATAATAAATACTTGCTAACGGAAAATATTATTTATTATATTAGAATTATATTAGAATATAGAAAGTAAATCTGCTTTTTGGATCATTGATATCAAACGCTATACAGCCATATTTATTTTAGTTTTAGCTTATATTCATTCATAAATGCAGGAATTGTTAACTTTTCAAAATAATTGAAAAATTACTTAATTGCAATGTATTAAATTCACATTTCTTAATCATGAAATTGATTTGAAAAATTTAACGCAGTAATTAAGTTTTAATTAATAGATTTTCACACACATATACATACACACACGTGCGCGCGCCATTTTTATCCCATTTATTTAAGTCTTATTTCACATTTTCGTAATATAAGGTAGCAACAAAATTCCAAGAAATTAATTATCTAGTGTTCTCCTAAAATAGCTTTTCTTGCCATAACAATATTATAATTGAAATATTATATTGAAACGTATTAGTTAAACGCATTGCAAAATAATAAATATATTTGATTGTATCCTAATCAATATTTTTTAATTTTATGAAAAATTTAATTAAAACCATATATAAAGTAAAATAACTATGTATTCTAATAATTTAATTGACCGTATCAACTTGTTTAAATTACATTCAATAGTCAAATGTAGAAAATATTTATATGCTCTAATATGAATTATGTGAAAATATAAATTTTAAAATTTTATAAATATTCTAATAAAAAAAGTGCTTAAAATTTTCATATTTGTTCAAATATTTGAGTATGAAATTTTATAAAATTAAGATTCGTATAATTTATAAAATTAAAAAAAAAACTAGTTCACATAGTTTTTTATCACAAATTCAACACAGAAATAGTATAATTTATTTACATTTTATTAATTAGATCGATTCTATTAATTTATTAGACACAAATGTTTATTTAATTTTATTTTAATATGTGATAAACCAATTCTATTTTTCATGTTTTCTAATAAATAATTGTAGCATAAGAATGATAATTGTATAACTCAATCTTTCAGTAACTATTCATTTTAATTGAAGCAGCATTTGGTTCGAAGTTAATATATGCGCAGTCCGCATTTTTCCTTGAAGTAACAGGTTAATGAACCTTACATTGCGATATTGCCATTCTTACAAAGCGACACTTTAACCCAGCACTTTTGAGAAAATAACACACTGCTCACTGAAGTAACGTAGTAATCATTCAACACGCTATTACTCAGCGCTAGATTGTACTTCGACATTGGATTGTCGATGCACTGCCATGCGCACGCAAAAAATCGTCCATCTATCCACTCCGGAGATCAATTTTGACAAATGTTGTTGCTGGCCAAGTATATTGTACTCTTTCTCTTTGTACCACTTTGTGTCCCCCCCCCCGTCACTCTATCACGCTGTCTCTCTCACCCCCCCTCTATATATATATATATATATATATACACACACATACATACACACATAGTCAGAAATAAATGAAAAATATTGGTAAAACAATAAAGAGTGGAAAAGGAAGGGAAAGCGGGAGAGAAAAAAGATTCTGATAGCACGTTCACCTCGTGCTCGATTTCGATTTCGACAGTAGTTGCGATCCTTTTTTGGAGCAGATACTCGCATTTTGCAAATCTACTCAATCGAATTTTACCTTTATTGGTTTGATTTATACTGACGTTACGTTATACTTTAGCAAATCACAGAAAATTTTGAGCGTATCTTTCCCCTTACCTTCTGTCCCTTCTCAATTTCTCTATCGCTTCTATCTTTCTAGTCGCGGTTCGATATATTTCATACGATTCAATTACATTATCCCAGTTTAATGAAATCATAGCAAAGTAATTTAAGATGAATAGCATAAATAAAGAATATGAGTGTGAAAAAGGTAGTTAACGACGGCAACGGATAGAATAATAGGTGTGGTGTTATAGAGAAGGGGAAGAGTGACGAGACTTGGCACCAAAGACAGATGACGCCACGAATTTCACTTTCACCCAAACGAATTGGCTTGAATAGCTCACTACCGTCCTATCTTCAAATTACCTTCTTGCCTGAACACTCTAACTTCAACGAAGCGTCGTCCACAAGGCGTATTGATGATAGAATTCGCTTATCCTCACTCCAGTATCCTCGCAACTGGTAAGGTGCAGTTCACCAAAACAAATAAAATTGTTGCGCACAAGTATGTACTAATCGTGAATCACGCGGCACGGACGTACTGAAGGCGACTAACGGCGCGCTCGGCCACTCAGTTCGAGCTGATGCTGTTGCCGCTGCTACTCCTGATGCTGGCAGGGGAAGCTAATATATATATATATATATTTCTTTTTATTATATATCTTACATACACAAACACAAACAAACAAATACACACACATACACACACGATAATAGATAGATAAATGAAGATAGATGGATTAAGAGAGAGAGAGAGAGAGAGAGAGAGAGAGAGAGAGAGAGAGACAGACAGACAGACAGGCAGAGAAATAGACAGCCGTACAGGCAGGGAAACAGACAAACAGATAGGTAAATAGATAGATGTATATATTAATGTACGGATATGTCGATAGATTGATAGACAGATGGATATATGTATGTATGGATATATGGATAGATAAATTGATAGATGGATAGATGGATGGATAGAGAGATAGATAGATAGATAGATAAGTAGATAGATAGATAAGTAGATAGATAAATGGATACAAAGAGAGAAAAAGAGAGAGAGAGTGAGAGAGAGATAGACAGACAGACAGACAGAGAGGTAAAGAAATAGATAGACAGGTAGACTGGCAGAAAGAAGGGCGAACAGATAGATAGACAGATAGATAGTTAAATATATAAATTGATATATAGGTTCATATACATATATATATATATATATATATATATATATATATATATATATATATATATATAGATAAATAGATAGTTAGATAGGTAGATAGATAGATAGATAGTTAGGTACTTAGATACGTAGATAGTTAGATAGGTAGATAGATAGATAGATAAAGAGATGGATGGATGAATAGATAGATAGATAAATGTGTAAAGAGAAGTTGTAGCGGAACTCTTTTCGCGATACGGCTGCAACTTCAACCTCACGCACTCTACGGTCGAGCGCCGGCAAACTAATAAGAACTGCGGAGGAAACCTACTCGGAGGAGCTGCGTAGGCTGGCTCTCACTCGCTTCTATTCCTTTTTTGCGCTCTCCTCACATAGCATTCTCTCCATCGTTGCCCTCCCTCCCTCGCTCACTCACTCATTCACTCACACATACACACACACACACACACACACTCTCTCTCTCTCTCTCTCACTCTCTCTATCACTTTCTTGCTCATGCTATCGAGCTGCTACGTAACCTCAGCAACATAGATCGATGGACCTGAATGTCTGTTTTGTCTGTGAAAGTGTGTAGAGGAACTTACTCATGTCATTGCTAATTACTTCATTGATCAAGTCATCAGTGATCTAAAGTTTTTTTTAAGCTTTGATGGAAAATTGACTAATATTAAATATAATATATATCTGATTACTGATTTTTTCAAATTTCTATAGCGTTAACTGCTCAAGGTTCTTTATTCAAAAATTCCTTTTTAGTAATATGATCCATTAAAAATTCGTTTTAGCAGGTAAATAATTTTTGTTTAATAATTCTAATAAAATATCATTTTTTTAAAGAAAATATTATAAATATATAATGAATTATTCATTATATACAATAGTAAAGAAATATTAATAATTGAATATTATTAATTCATCTATATATTTATTTCTTTTGGTTAAATTATTATATATATGAAGAATCATTGTCATTCAAATGTTTCACTTAACTATTATATTATAATTTAAATAAAAAATTGGTGAGTGTTTAAAATAATTACTTATTATTTTTCATTCTATAATTTAAATAATTTTAAATTACCAACATATTATTGTCGTCTTTTAATTTATTTGTAATTCATTCTATTTATAAGTATTATAACTATTTATTTCCAAATGTTTAAATAGTTGTATCCAATTTTATTTTGTACTTTGAATATTTGATTACTTCTAACAGAAAATTATATATGATTATGTATATATAAAGTGTTTATTTAGACAATGATCTTCGGTATATTAATGCTATTTAGTGATGAGACTAACAAAAAAAACTTACGTTAATTCTTTTATCTCAGTTTTTCTATAACCGATAAACAGTATAATAACAAAATATGTACTTTCAAGTTTATATATGTTTATATTGATTTATACATTTAATTATATATGACATTTTGTGATACTAATAATATTTACAAATATATTATTTTATACATCAATTAGTTGTAAATTATATCAGTATTGCAGATTAAATTTGAAATTTTTTACCTTTACCTTAACAATTAAAAAAAAATTTATTGTGTAATACACAAAGAAAATCAATTATATATCTTCAAAATATTAAAAAAATTTTTAAATAATACTATTGTGAATTTTCATATTTTTATTTGAAAAAAAAAAATTATAATCGAATAATATTTTAATAATTTAATTTATATATAATATTTATTGAATTATATAATTATATATTAACATTATTTGTGAAAGCCTTAAACAATACTGTACATTTCAAACGATATTATCATAGGCTTAAATTTTGTTTAATTTATATATTTCAAAACTCTACATAATAAATAATCTCAATTTGAAAATAATTTTTGTTTCATATTTTTTTTTTTAGAAATCTATAAAAACATGAAACTTTCTGTAATAATATTAAATTTTAAAATATGATATTGAGAAAAGTATTTATTATCTATTACAGTTGCATTGAAATAAAAAAACCCGATTGTAAGTAAACTTTGAAAATATCCTACAATAAATTTCCTTTGACTGTAATTCCATAATTTTAGTAAGAACGAAGATTACCAATGCAACTTTATAACTTATTCGGTCAAGGCTTTCCGGATTGAAAACTCGAACATTACGATAAAAGGTGCTTACGAGGACACTCTAAAAAGCAGTTCTGTCCACCTCCTCCTTCCATCTATCTCTCTCCTTGTCATGAGAGCTTTTTGTCTTTATTTCTCTTCCTTATTATCATTATTATAAAACAAGTGTAGTTGTTAGTGTCAGTATATATTATATCAAGACAAATTCTAGCATATAGTAATTTTAGTGAAGTGTGAGTCATCTTTTAAAGCTAATAGTGTAATAAAAGAACAAAAAAAAACAAAAACAAAAGAGAGGGGAAAATTTTCGTAGGTAAATATCCCGCTCTCTACAATACATTCTGTGAGTGAGGATAGTTATGCTGTTACTATACTTGGAGCTCGTGAGTTGCTGCCGTCAGATTGTTTAATACGCGAAGGCGTTGAGCTCTCGCGCTTTGATTCCCGAGTGATTGCAATGCAAGCACGCATAGATTTATCTAAATTTATCGCAATTTTAACATAAATGTAATCAACAGAAGTCTTTAACGTTCAGTATTAGATTATCATTTCTCATCATACCTATTTTATTGATAATTCGTTATAATTAATTAATTATTATATCCTATATTTATTTTTAGTCGAAACATTGTTAATTCTGTTTCGCATTTTTAAAAATATTATTTACAAAAATATCATATTTTATTAACTATGACAATTATTATTATTTTATTAATCAATTTTAATAGAATTATGTATAACGTGAACTAATATTCCTAACACAAAAAAATTATGGCATTTATGCAGTACGGGTACAATGACCTAAAATTTTTTTAAGAATTAATAGTAGTTCAAACATTATGAACTTATTTATATATTCTGATTATAACTGAAATTACATGTTTCATTTATTAGACAAATTGTACAATATTTAAAGTTTTTATAAACTTTTTTTTATTAAACTTTAGATATTGCTTTATAGCTTCAAATAGTTTATAATTCATATCTAGAACTGCAGGTATTTATAAATTTTTATGAATTTTATCATGCTAAATAATTTATGATTTAATTATTTTGTAAAGAAAACAACTTCATATTTATAGTTAATTTTTTTTAAACGAATTTAATAAAATATTAAAATATTATATAATATTTATTTCTTTTATATCAATAATGTTCAGTGTATAATAAAGAAGTTTACTTGATATTGAAAACTATCTAATGTAAGAAAAAAATATCTATAGTTTAAATAATCTTTGCCTCAACACAATACATAAATATATAAAAAAATTGGATTCTAATTTTAATAAGTAAATTAATTGTAACACAAATTGGTTGGTTGAAAAAAATATTATTATCATGTTATAAAATTATTATATAATTTTCATTAAAATTGTGAAATCTTATAAATAAAAAATAAATTAGTGTATAATTCTATATTTCTATTTTAATTAATTATTTTCTTCTATTGTTTCTTTGTACCCTATTCTTCATTAGAACATGATGCAATTATTTTTAATTAATCATAGGTAAGTACGCTAATTACATTATAAAAACTGTAAAAGTTACGTTTATTGTGAACCACCGAAGTTATTTAAATCATATATAATGATACAAATACATGTCTACAAACATATCGAGCCATATGAATAATATAAATTTTAATAGTATCATAACAGCACATAATATGAACTGTACATTAACTTATTGAATTATTGTAATATTTTTAAATGTTACAAATGATACAAAAAATTTTGTTTTCAACGTACTTTAATACAGTAAGGATAGCTTTTACAAGCTAGATCAATTATCATGGAATAATATAAAAATATTTATTTTTTGATTGTGTATAAGATTTTAATATGCCAATTTTTAAAAACATTCTTAAACAACTTATTCCAAATCTTTTTATAGGAATAACAACTTTTTATAAAATAATTTCTAAGAGGTAACTATTTATGCTGATATATTTTTTTAAATAATATGAAAATATGAAAGTATCAATACATTAATAAATTATTTTAATAAATAAGTAAGTTTTTGAGCTCATGATATTAATACAAATAATTTCAATTACAAACTAAATAAGAAGTAAATATACCGAAAATAAGAAAAGGAGTATTAAAATAATAAAATATTGATTATAAATATCTTTACTCAAAGTAATGATCTTGCCTATATTGATTTTATATTTACTTTCATTCAAACAAATGATAATATCTAATAAATCTGTGAATTCTTTATTGATACATAAAATCTTATTTAGACTGTTTATTATTCCGCTATTCTTAACTTTATTTTTTTAATTTGTATTCTACTATTATAAGGTACATTTCAACGTTATGATTCATCTTATAATTTTTCAACAAGTTGAACATAAGAAGGTAAATTACTATTTAAGATAGTGGAGCTAAAGTAGTTATTAACTAAATACTAATGGGTTTTATCTATTATTATGGAATTCAATTTTTAAAACTATACTGCTTAAGGGTATATACGATATGCATGAAAAGTTATATATATATATATATATATATATATGCGTGTGCGTGCGTACGTGTGTGTGTGTGTATAAATTAGAAGGCTAAAAAATGGTATGAATGAAATAAGCGGCAAGACCAAATAGGAGAGACGTATTACAAATTTGACTTCAGCTCTGCAACTGTAAATACATACATACAATATATGTGAGATTAACAAATTTTATACATAATATATAAATAGAAATAGAACATAAAAATAGAACTTTAATATTTTTAAATGTGAAATAACTAACGCAACAGTTAATATATGGGCATAGAAATTAATCTCTCCAATATCTGAATTGATTTAACTTCATCAGTAGATTTTGAATATTCAGTAAAAATTTCTACTAATTTATTAATTTATATATTGTAAAATTTAGAACAATGAAAACTACGAATAGGTTTTTAAAAACACCAGACCTATTTTCATTCAATTTGAAATATTCTATAAAATGTATAGCATTATTATTAAAATGTTATAAGATAAACTAAAATACTTTAGAAAATTTTATTTTTAATATTTTTTACATAATAAAATAATAATTGCATGATACTGATATTACTTAACAATAAATTAATTAAATTTATATGATTTAATCATATATCAATACTATTTTTTATGTACTTAATTTGAAATAAATAATGATACGAGTTTTATTAAACTCTCAATGATATATATTTTTAATACCTTATCTTCTCAAACTATAGAATTAGTAAAGCGCATGAAAACATTAGCAAATGCCATTATAACTGTCTAAGATTAAATCTAATATAAATATATTTTATCGACAAGTACTTCAATAATATAACTTCTTTCTTTACTCCCCCCATAAAAAAACGTGCTTCTCCTTCATTGCTTTTAGTAAATATTCTTATTTACGTAAAAGTATTTTTGATTTTATCTTCGTTTCATAAAATTAATAAATGAATAGAATAAAAACTATTATTACATTATGGATAGATTTGTATAACAAAACCTATTTGTAACAAGATATTGATTTCATTGTAATATTCAATCGCACACTTTATTTTAATAATATATAGTTTAATCTGATATTTTATAATAAATTATGGTAATAGTTATTTATGTATTTTCCACTTGCATGACCATAGACATATTTATTACTCACAAACTTTTACCTCGAAGTATAAAAAATTTCAAAACGTAAAAAGAAGTGATTTATATATATATATATCTACTTTACACTTAAGTTCACTTATACTCCTATACTTGCACCACTGAAACCACAAAATAAAATTTTTAAATACCATTGACATAAACAGTGATTGAGAAACATATATAAATTCACTAATTGATTTATCACTCAAGAATTGTTTCAAATAAATATTTAAAATTTTATTTAAAGTCTTTTTCTATCATAAAATTTTAATAATCCCATCAAAAACTTCAACTTAATTTTTAAAAGTTAATCTGGTTATGATATAAAAATACTAGCAAATATATAATCAAGTCTTTATTATTGTCTAGATGTCTAGAGATATTCAGAAGATTAAATTAAAATATTAATTGTACCTTATGTTTGATTATTTTCGTTTGTGACATATAATAAGTTACATTATAATAATTACATTTATAGTGATATATAACAAATAAAGAAATATAAACATATTAATTAAATTCACAATATGTATAAATAATTGTAATTTATTATGTAATAATTGTTAATAATATTGATATATTAATTACTATGTACGTGATATTTTCTTTAAATACATTGGAGTATTTTAATTAAATGTGTATTTAAAAATAAAAATAAATAATTAAAGTTACGATTATTTAGATGGACATATATAATTGTTTAGGAATACTACTATTATGTTTATTATTTATTTCCCTCATTATTAATTTATGAATACCCTTCATTTTGTTTATCTTCTAAGTACAAATTAAAAAAAATTATCTTAAATTGAAATATAAAATAGCGAATAATATTTAAATTTAATTTAATTTTTAAAATTATCCTTCTTCTGCATTATTTTTAAAAATAATCAAAACAAAATAATTATTTTTCTTTATCCCATCTCTTATTATATGTTCTTCTTGGTATAATTATTATACGTTTACTATCATAAGTGTGCCTTATTAAAATATAATTTAGTTATAAATTTTTTTAATAATATTACGTACACAGGTTTGTAAAAACTTATAAAATTATTAATAATCATAACACCTAAATTAATACAGGCAAAATAAAAAGTACAACAAAAATTGAATTTCTTCAAATAAAAGTAAACACATGAGTAAAAAATATATGTTTATATGTATGGATGAATTTTAAATGATGTAATTAAAAATTTAAGTATTACTTCTTTTCGTGCAAATTCATAGACGCTTATTATTATTCTCGTTTTTTGCATTTATTGATACATATAATGAATATATATATATATATATATATATATATATATATATATATAGATACCTATGCAAACAATATATAAAGATCATTAATATCGTTAGAATGTATGTATACTCGAAATAAGTAGGTATGCGTGTATGCTTTTATAACAATTAATCAATTTTAATTTCTCAATATTAATATTTTACAAATATAGGAAACAATATATACTTTATTCAGAATATGATTAATTAATGCTAATTTAATGTTAATAAACAACAATCAGTGAAATCCTATATACAAAATAATATTACATTTTTGCCCTACCACAATCTATCATAAATTAAACACCAAAGTCATGCTTGTAATGCTGAATTTAATAGTGGTGGTACAACCAATGTGATATACAAGTAATCAAACAAACTATTGATTTTTCGGATTATTTCATACTTAATTCAATTCAGTAGCCGTTTCTGTCAACCGATTGTTTTAATTTCTTATTAATCATTGACATATTTATAAAAAAAATTATGATTTTATAAAAACCAGGAATTTAAAATCTTAACCAAATACTGCCATTGAAAATAAAATAATAAAAATTTAATATTGGTTATATTGTAATTATAAATATTCTTAAAACTGAACTTATCGTATAATTATAAGATATTAGTTATATTACAAGCAAAATTATAACATAGGTCCCATAGTTGAGATAAAGTAAGTATTAAACTAATTATTATTAATAGTAAAGATAAAGATATGTATTAAATTATCAATTATATGCTAGTTATTAATTAATTTAAAAGTTAACAATTCACCATTAAATATTGCATATTTCATTGATGAAAATATAAAATTAACGCCGTATACAGTTAATATGTAGTAAAATACGTTGAAAGAATGAGTAAAATTAATATTCTTCTACGAGGTTTATAAAAATTCCCTTAGTTATAGATTTATTTCTGTTAGAAAAATTAATAAATATCTTCTCAATATTTTTTAGATTTTTCAATTACTTTACATCTTCATAGTTTACTTTACACAATGTTAAACCATCATATATATTCCAATATTTATTATGAATTAACAAGCTTAAATCATTTTAAATGAAAAAATATTTAATATGCTTTTAAATATAATTACTTATAAACTTAATTTTATATAAATATCAATTTTATTATTATTTAAGGCCTGAGTTTTATAGTAATTAATATAATTAATATTAAAAATAATTGATTTATAAAAATTAAATGAATTCAGCTATTAAAATTAAATTACACACACACACACACACATATATATATATATATATATATATATATATATATATATATATATTGTTCCTTACCTTAAAGATACTTAATATTTAAAATATTTCAATTTAAAAATTTCTTTATTAATGATGTTACATTAAACATTGTATTACATATATTGTTATAAAAATGCATTGTATAATAATTTTATTATTCAGTTCATATAAAATAATGTTTATTATGATATGCTCATTTAAGGATGTAACTTCTATTAAGTATGAAATCTATACAGCAACATAGCGTAGTTAAACATTATTTTTCACATTGTAATTACATATAATATTTATTTCAATGCTATTTTACAAATGCTTCTTTAATATGCAAATTAATAAAATTAGTATACGTTAATTTGAATTTTTACTTGTAGAATAAATATGATCTTTTGAAAGACAATAATGATATGTTTGGCTAAATGCCAACGTCAGAGATGTGACTTTATGGTAACACATGACAGCAATAAGACTAGTTTTTTTATGAAAAACGTAAATCATTATATATTCAGTATACTTATATAATCTCTTAATGAATAAATGATAATAAATTTTATTTTTTAATAATTGCAAAGTTATATATTTTCATAAAACGATAAATTTTTACATATAATTTAATATTTAAAAAAGACTTAATAATAAAATAGTTTAAAAAACTATAACTAATTAATTATTACAATATAAATTATTTTAAAGTTAAATTAAAAAAAAATGGACATAAGAGTTTAAGTGAAAATAAATTTATGATTTTAAAAAGTATTAAAGTATTTAAGTATTAAATCAGATGAAAATTTTTGATAATTTCAAAAGAATTTTCATATTAAATCGAAATGTATTTATTATATGTTTGTATATATTACAAAAATATTGATATACAATGTTTTAAAAAGAGTAATAAATCAATACAAGAATGTTTACATTTTATTTATGATTTTTTGAAAATATTAACCATAATTTTTCGCATACTTTCTTGTATTATATGGGGATATAATTATATATACACAAGTGTATATGTACATATAATAGACAAATATTTATACATATTTTACTTTTCCCCCTTAAAATTTTTTTTTATTTATATAATTAGTTATTTAGTAATAGTTTAAAAGAGAAATACGTAGTAAAAATATTATTCTAAAATACTGTATTTTTTGGCTTAATACTATCTTCATTACTTTAGTTTAAAAGTGTACATACAAAAATTTATTATTTATAAAAAATTAAGCGTCATATCTATGATTTTTATTTTTACAGTAGTATAAGAAATATTTATTTTAATATTATTTGTAACAATTAATACGAATCAGTTACATGTAATATAATTGTCCTGCTTACGGTATATGTTTCTATAAGAAAAATATATAATTGCAATTGATTTAAATTTTAATTACTCTCGTACGTATCTTTATATTGTACTATGTTTTCAAGTTACTATAACTTAATTATTATCTTCTTTTTATTAATCACCTTTTTTAATCAATTTTCATTTAAATATTTTTTACTTTTTAATATAATAGTTAAATCAAATAGTAATTAATATTGATTTATAAACAAAATTATACAATACCGATCATAATATTTCAGAAATTAAGATTCAAATTAAAAATTGTTAGGATTATATTTTTACACTTACATCAACGTTAATGTTTAGAAAATAATATGATTATAACTAAGGATCAAACATAAAAAATATTATTAACGACTGTTGTACATTGTATCAACCCGTCATGATTTTTTTCATAATTAGTAAGTTTTGATATCTTGCATAAAAAGCATTTATTATTAGTAAGACACAAATTATTATTTTCACTTCTCATCTTATTAATTGACTGTAAATTTTAATATGATTCATATTAAATTTGAAATAAAAATTTCTCAACTTATTAATCCACAACTACTAAGATTATTTTGAATTATAACATCTGTTACAGCGTCAAAAACAAATTGAATATTATTCGTATCAGTGGCGCATGTAAAATGAGAATAAATTTGTTTTTGCTCTTTGCGTTTATTAAGATCTTCAAATTTAATTTGTATATACGATGCACATTCATCGAAGGTATTTAAGCCCTTATATTCAGGAAAACAAATTGTCAATGGGCTTTTACAGATTTTATTCTCAAAAATATCTTTCTTATTAAGAAATAATATAATAGACGTGTCTACAAACCATTTACTGTTACAAATAGAATCGAACAATTTCATTGATTCAATCATACGATTCATTTCTTCGTCCTCGGCAAGTACTAAATCATATTCACTTAATGCTACACAAAATATAATTGCTGTTACATCCTCGAAACAATGTATCCATTTTTTTCGTTCTGAACGTTGACCTCCCACATCAAACATTTTAAACTGCAAACCTTTAAATGAGAAACATGTTTCTACAATCCCTGTTGTTTTTATTCTAGTTTTTAAAACATCTTGTTGTGTTGGAATATAGTTCGGCATTGTAATACGATCCACTGCGTTTAAATAGTAAGCGGCTGAATCATTTAACTGATATTCACGGCTACGTGCAAAACATAGTTGAACACCACTATCTTGCCATAAATTTTTCATTAAAATTACCAAGTCACTGCTTAATTCTCCTTCAGGCGTAGAAGATGCGACTGTGAAAAATTCTCTAGCTATATTAACTTTACTAGGATCTGCGAAGTCTATTTTTAATTGTCCCATAGCTCGAATTATTGTCATCAAACTTTGAATTGTATTACTATATACAACTGGCTTATACTGTTCACATTCTTCTTGACTATATCCCGTTTCATGTATTATTTTCATCTGTTTAACTATCGTTGATTTTCCAGATTCTCCCGCTCCAAGTAAAAGTAATTTTACTTCATTCGCTATTCTTTCTCCATCTGCACGAAGATCTTTATCAATCTTTTTTGATCTTTCGATAGCAGCTTTGTCGCCATTAGAACTTGCTGTGCATCCCATTTTTATTTTGCTTACTAGATCAGCTGAAATTTTAATGGAATATAAATTAAATTTTAAGAGGGTATTATTAATAAAATATGTTTACACATAAGGATATATATTATTATAGATTTTAATTATTTCATTATGATATTTCTTTGGTAAAGGATAATATTTATAATTATAACTATAATTATATAACTAAATGAAATTTTCAAAGAACAAACATTATTTTTATCTAAATGATGAGTTATAATACATAAATTATTCTAAATAAATATATGTGCCGAATAATTTATATAAAATTAATTTTGAATTGAACTGTTTAGTTTAAAAGGTTTCTCGCCCTTAATAGTCAAAATATTCAAGATTATAATTACAATGACTTAGACTGATTTCAAGTATTTTGTTTACTAATACTTATTTATTAATACATAGAAAATTAATGTACTATAATACTCTACTATAAATGGAAACCTTAGTTTTTTAAGTTCCTGAAACGTCAAAAATGGCTTATTGAATAAATTTGATTCAGTCGTTTAAAAAATCCATAATGAATAAAATCAAATCTTTCGTAGTTGTAGTATATAAAAATTTAATTTAAAAAAATACATATTTCGTAAATTTTTAATAATGGATTACAAATTTACAGATCTACATTACTCCTTTATATTTAAATAAAAGCATTAAATATAAAATTAACCTAGATTACATCATATATTTATATATAAATTTATTGTAATAATTAAAATAGTATTCAAATTGATATAGGTTTTCATTAAGTATTACTTTTTGTGAATCAATTATATTTATAAATGAATATAATATTTATAATGGTTTATATCAAAATCAAAATAAAATAATAAAATATAACTTCCACATACTTATTAAAAGTGATATTTTAAAATTAATAATTAAAAACAATGGCACATATATATTCCTATATATTTAAAAAATATATAAACTTATTGTACCAAAAAAACAAAACTAATATTTTATTTATATACAAAACAATGTCAGATCTTTATAAGAGTAAGATGATATGGTCATTTTTAATAATAAAAAATTATAATAATTTAATTGAATCTCTTTCCTTAAGTACAGTGTTTTATTATTTAATATTCATTTAATATTAATCTTATAATAGTTCTAAAATAAGATATATGATTTACAATAAATTAAAATATTCTCACAATTATAAATTTTATTAATATCAAAAACTTATGAATAATTATTACAGTATTGTAAAATAGTATTGAAATTATAAATAATTTCAATGTAATAATTAAAACTAAATCTATAGTAATGAAATTGAAACTTGAAATATTATGAATAATACAATTAATCATTAACTATTATAAAATAATTATTAGTAAGTAGGTTAAATTTTACTCACATAATAAATTTAATCAATAAATTATTAAATATGTATAAGTAAAACATACTTTTTCAACAACATATACAAATTTTATCTATAATTTATCAAACCCTTATGTACAATATTAAATAAATATAAGAAACATTTATTTCTAATATAAGACAATCGCATGCTTATGTGTTTATATTAAACATTTTTATTATATTTAGGAATATACAAGTATTTTAAAGTACTTAGTGCATTGTTAAAAGTTTTATTTCTACTACATCAGAATAAGGGAAAAATATTAAAATTGTAAATTTGGTTTTAAAATTTAATTCTATCCTTAACACATTTTTAATTGTTATTCAATACAAGTTAATTTAATACTGAATTTAATACAATTATTTTTTTAAATACTTTTGTATAAGATGTATATTGTATTTTAATTTTAATAAAGTTTTTTATTAATTTCAAAATAAAACTAACTTTTTTATCTACATTTTTATAATAAAATTAACCAAATAATCTATGTGTATTTATATTTTTATTAAAACTTTATTATTATATAAAATTATTGTAACAGTTATTACAAATATTATTTCTAGATAAAATATTTAGTTTCTAAATAAAGTTTCTTAAATAACTTATGTAAAAAAAACCCATTTTCGAAAAACATTTAATCAAATGATTTAAATATAATTTTATAGAAGATTTATTATACTATACTAAGATCAATCATGTATAATTAAATTGTTTCTTTTTTCAATTAAATAAATATGAATATTTTAAATATTCAAATAATTTACCTTTACTTAGGTTAATAAAAAATAATTTGTACGTAAATGCTCAATAGATTTTTAGATAATTTTTAGATACTTTAATTAACAGATTTATATTTATCAGTTTTAACACTTGTGTAATCTAAATTTTTCTTTCATATTGTTTTTTTCATTATTGTTACATTGATAAATTTTAAATATAATGAATTTTAAAGTGCATTAAGAAGAGATATTCAATAAAATAATATACAAAAATATATAATTTCTATAACTGTTTTAAAATAATTTAAACATATTTCAATTCAACAATCTGTTTATGTTAATAAAATGTATGCTATATATTTATTATTACTTTGTAAATATCAAAGAACTAGTAAAATATTTTATTACAGTGAAACTTTATAATTTATGTGATAAATTATTCTTAAAAAATATATAATAATCTTAAATTACAATATAATTTGATATTTACAATATTTATCAATTAGAAATGTTTACTAGTTACAAATATTTTACATTAAAACTACAATATTTTGAATTTATGAATATCTAGAATCTTATTTATCTTTATAATTATAATAGTCTCATATTGCTTAATATAATTTTATATAATTCATTACAATGAAAGTATAAATAAAAATAAAATATAAAATTGAGCATATAAAAAATAAGTTACAAAAAGCCAATAATACATACTTTCTTGAAATAATTAATTTATTTGTACTCCAGTAATGAGGTTAATTTCTAGCAGTTTCTTTTATTTTCTATTTTATTTTACTATTATTATCCACTGTATTTGAAAATAAATATTATTTAAATAATTTCAATATAATGTTACATTTATTTCATAATCAATGAACATTTTAATTAAATTTAATTCAAAATATTTAGTCAATCTTTTGAATAAAATGAAATTGCCAAACATAAATTATCAAAATTTTTCAAATTGGGTGTTTCAATTATCGCTATATATTATATACTAATTTGATTATGAAAACAAAAAATACAATGATTGACAAAAATATTAACAAATTATTTGATTAAGTGTAAACAACATCATGTCTGCTACTTTAGTTGCGCGTCCTTACTGAATCTACGCCCGTAAACGGTTAACAAAATGGTGTGTAGATATTACCGACTATGTCTCACTCTCATTGCCGCGCCTTATTCAAACATACTGAAAATTGATAATTAATAATAAAGTAGTAATGTTTCTACGGTTTCACAGAATTATAAAAAACATTAAGATATTAAATCAAATAAAAAAAGTAATTAGATAAAAATATTAGTAAATACATAAGAGTAAAATTTCTATAATTTTAACACTTTATTCATTTAGTTTTTATTGATTTACTTTTATTCATCATGATGTAACATTAATTCTTATTAAAAAAAATTTAATAAATACGATTATTAAAAAACTTAAGTGGCAGTCTATACATAAACAATAATTAAACATTAATTTTTAATTACTTGATGTTCAATACCTAATTTTTATAAATTTATATAAAGCAATTTGTTTTTAAATAAACAATAGGTTTATTTTGTAATCTCAAATATTTTTAATAAAAATAGAGTAAATGTATGTGTCTTAAAAGTTTTATTTGCCTGAGAAAATGATTTTGAATCATATAATTTACAAGTGCTAATTATAAGTTAACTAACTAAAAGTGAAGTCTATGCAGAAGTTTATCATAATTCACAGTTTTTTGTCTTCTTAATAAAATATTAATTTATAACTATTTTCATTTGTTATACATAAAAATACAATTTAAAATAGGTTAGATTATAAAATTATTAAATTGTTTGGCACATATAATATTGTTTATATATTAATCTTTGTACACATTTTGGGATATTTTTTAATTGTAATTTTATGTTTTAAATGAAAAATATTTTTTATAGGCCATAGTGAATGTTTAAAAATAATTAAATAAATATTAATATTAATAATATAAACAAAAAATTAAAATTATTACAATAACTGATTGTATAAAAAATATAATTATTTACAATCTAAATAGATACAAAAAAAAAATACACGAAATGAAATATTCACATTAAAAAGGTAAGTAAAAATTTTAGTTTAGTTTATTAAAAAGATAATATTTTTATGTAATATCACCGACCTACAATTTTCAATATATAATCTCATGTAAGTCAATTATAAAATACAATTGCTATAAGAAAAAATATTTGTAAAGAAGAATGAGAGAATGAAAAATGTGAGACATGGACAAAAGTGAATTTTGGTATTCTAAGTAGCCAGATATATACGATGCACTATAGTCAACTATATATATATATGCAAGGTTAAAAACAATCAACACATTCGAAAATATGAGGAAAGGGGTATTCTAAGATAGCCAGATATATACGATGCACTATAGTCAACTATATATATATATGCAAGGTTAAAAACAATCAACACATTCGAAAATATGAGGAAAGGATGTATATAAGTAACGTTAAATACATTGTATATTGTCACTTGCGCAGTTATATTTAGAATCTAAATGCTTGTTTATTTGGAGACTGATCTTTAAATTACACAATTCGATTGACGTTGATACAGATTGTAACGTTGATCGAGCATATTATTGCTGCTAACACTGCTATAAAACTAATTGACAATGTTATGATAAATCGAATAAGAATTATTTATTACCCATAAATTAAAAGTAAGTAAATAATTCTAGTCGAATCAAAAGCCATATGCCAGCCATTAATGATATATGCAATTAATGTACAGTAAAAAAAGCTATTAGAGGTTAATGTGAATAAAGAAAGAAGCGCATGCGTATGTGGTAAAATTACATGTAGCGGCAGCCAAAACGAGGTTTGGCATTACTATATATTTTTCTCTTTATATTATAATCGACCATAATCATAATAATAA